TTTATGTAGTTTATCAAAACTTTTTATAACGATGAGATAAATATTTTTCAATATATATGCTTGACATTTGTCTACAAATTACTCGTCAGTAAAAATTTTTGTACTCGAAACTGTGCTCAGCAAAAACTAATTGGTGTAACAAATTAGTGAAAACCGTGGTTTTCTAGAAAAGATAAATAAAAAAAGATAAATCTAAACCATTTTGAAGCAGCCATTTGAAAGAGCATCATCTAATCTTTAATACGTAAGATTTATGAAATTGAGTTCCACGCTTACCTAGCAATGAATTTTCTCCCGCAGCATGCTTATTGTTTGACTTGATTGCACCTACAGAAAAAAATAAAAAATTTGGGTCAGAATTATTTGTTACGGATTTTTAAGTTTCAAAATGAACCGTAGAACATTTGTGACGACGGCGAATGACTGAGCTATCATTTTCTGGTTCGTTTTTCTTAAATAACATGTACTAGTTCTTTAATTTTTCACAATACAATAAAAATACGCAGATCGTGAACAAGAAATATTTTCGTGTTCGCAGTCTACCTACGTTACTACACTGATATATTTTCTTACAGCATGGTTTGATGGTTACGTTGTTCGTCACGTACTTCAAACGTATTGTGTTCGAACCTCGGTGCCGACAAAGTTATGTAATAACCTTGAGCAAGTTGCTTATGTCTTGGTGTTTCGGATCACCTGTCCGATAGCATACTCACTACATTGCGACGTATAATAAACTTCTCTGACTAGTCCTTATGGCTTTCCATAAGGCTTTCCATATCCTTATGGCTTCTTAAGTGATTGGGCAAAAGAACTCTACATCAAACTAGCCGTCTGGCAGAACTGCAGTTAATAACTAGTAACAATATGGATAATCATTTTAGAAGCTTGTTAACTCTGCTTAGAAACTATATGTTTTCGGTTTGTTTTGCTAAAAATCGAAAAACAGGTGAAAAACAGCCTGTGTGTTCGAATGTCCAATTTGTATTGTAACAAACATTTCATCCAATGAGTTATATATATAGATCGATGTAGTTTTCCATGCTCTATCCGAATATGATCTTAACATTGAGAAGAAAGGTGCGGAAAATGGCAAGAATCAGGAAAATTTTGGAAAACTAAGGTCAGTTTTGATGGTCCAACGTAATTTACTTACTAAATTCATTTTCTCTCTTTAAATAAAAACTATTAAGACGGATCCGGGATCAATGCAATCATGGTCGAGAAAACCATTGTGCAAAAAATCTGAATTGGAACGATGGCCGCTATGATGGCCGCCTAGACAAGGCAACTGCTGGTTCGAGTACAGCAACATCTATTGATATTATTTAGAACGAAGAAAATTTTCTTTCTTTTCAACAATCTTCCTGCTGTGTTCAGACAGCTTTTCTTCTTCTACCTGCCAGCCTAGAACTGAAAACCTTGATTAAGCGATTAAATGATAATTATGACAATGATTAAATTGTTGAGTGGTAATACAACTCAATTAATTATTGAATCATTTCGTTTAAGACGTGCATATTTTTAATGAAAATAGTTTATCTATATAACAAATTATGGTAATTCACACAGAATTTACATTTCGTAATGCAGCACAGCTCGACTTCTGGAGTTCTGAGTTGGAAGCGGGACTTGCAATTTCTGAAACGTGGTCCCGCGTTTCTCGTAAGGCAAACAAGATCGGAACACAGATGAAACTGAAAAAACCAGCATTTTCTGCTTTACGTGGCTGGTCTCAAAATTGATAGAAAAAGAGATTTGGTCAAAAACGCTCTTCATAGGTTGCAAATGCGTAAAAAGGGTTACAGAAGAAAAAATAACTGCGTATCGGAGCGTGTGTACTAGTTTTACATTCCGTTGTACTCAATGCCTTACTACCGTATTTTTAATAAGTATTTGAAGCTACAAACTGCGTAATTTATTCATGTTTTAACTTAGATCAAACTTGAATTTCGATTAATATCGAAGATGTCATTGAAAGATGCTACTTTGAGAAAAAAAAAAGGTTTCAAGAATTGAAACCATTTCGAAACCCTTTTTAGGTTTCGTAGGAATGTACGAAATCCTTAAAAAGATTTATCAAGGATTTAGAAAACCTTTTTAAGGTTTCGTAGATTTTCTACGAAACCCTTAAAAAGATTTCGAATTGATTTCAATTCTCGAAACCCTTTTTAAGTTGCATAGTGTACACGAAACCATTTTTTAAGTTTCGTAGCTTGCACGAAATCTCCTTTGAGTTCCGTATCGTACCTTTGTTTTTTCAGAGTACGGTTCAGTTAGACAAATGGTTACAAAAGGCAGCTGAAAGTGAGATATACGAGAAACTAATGGATAAAACTGTGAATTATCAGTGCAGCCTTTTCTCTCCTCGCTTTCGGCTTCATCAAATCTTGCCGTTTTAAGCATATGACGAGCTTTTGGACCGGATAATTGGTAGATTAGAAGGAAGATATAAAAACGTTCTGACATCCGAAAAAGTAAGAAACTGTAGAAAAACCTGTGTTCCAGCTTCTCCTTTGCTCATCGTTTCTCTCTTGCTATAAAGTTTATTTGGAAGAGCAGAGTAACATAGAATCTGCAAGCTTCTCTTATTGTCAGGGTTATCATAGATCTTTTTTATACAAGAACATCACTTCTCGTCCACATTTGACTTCCTATTTCTTACTATTCTTTAGTTATTTATTATTTGTATTTATTTATGATTTATTTTGTTTTTGCTATATTGTTTATTATTTATTCCTATCTTAAACTGCCAAATTGAAAATGGAGTCAAATAAGTATTTTTATATTTTTCTCTTCATAGGATGCAGGGTACTTTATGAATTTTCGTTTTACTTTTTAGCTAAATGATGATATTGGGGATGCCGGAACATTTGTCCAAAAAATACTGGCTTTGCTCGACTAAGGAAACCTTTGCCCGTTATTGTACAACTTTACGTATCAAAACGACATTTATTGGTATATTCTATTTTCAAACAAAACTTTGCTCGATTTTAATGTCGATGATAACAAAATGTCGTTTGGTTTTATGTTAGCTGCATCAGTAGCATTATTCTACACGTTTTATGTACAATATCCAACGACATACATGGCGCTATATGAAATATTGGAACATTTTATGTTTAATGCAAAGCCATCTACAGTTGGCGTACAAAATGTTATTATTGAATTTAATAAAAAAATACAAGCTGTTTAAATAATATTGGTGTTCGTGTCCATTTGAACAGCCCTGCATCTGTGATGCTGTTATCAATTTTGTCTGTTCGACAACACCAATCATGCTAACGGATGACAATCAACAATTATATGTTGTCTTCGAAGTAGGCAAACTATTTTTACAATTGTTAAACGCATAGAAAATGCCATCCAATGTTCCTCATCAACTCTGGTTACAACATCAACAGCAACACACAACGACTCCACGTGTAGTAAGGATCGATTTATTCGGATTTTTATTTTTCGCACTTTTAAACGTTTACAAAGAGGATGCCTGCTGGATTTTAAGCATATCAAAAAATCACAAAATTAAAAATGTTTAGGATTTTATTTTATTTTAAAATTAAAAAATTGCAAAGCTCTTCTATACAAAGTGGGTATAAAATTGAATTTTGTGACTTTAAAGAGAGAGACAATTTTAAATTTCTTTATTGGCTATAAAGTTTTTAACTAATACTGTCTTTAATGGACTAAATAAGCAATGGATAAAACTTTTGAAAATTTTTCTATCATGGGATAATGCGTCTACGATCTAGTAAAACTACAATACTCAAGAGCTTTATTACGCACCATTCGCAAGATGTGTTGTTTAAAAGAAATTTTATCTTACAACCTATTCGATTAGTATCCACGTTCGCTTAATTTTCCTCTGTAAGAAAAATGTTTGCTCTCCAAAATAAAAATGAGCACTGAGAAAGTTTTCTACGCAAGACTATAATCTGGTGAAAATGTGAGTGACTTACAAAGAAGTAGATCGTTACGTATATTGACTGATAGGCATATGAATAATGAAGCCGAAGATGTCTATAATGAAAACATTTCATTCGAGATTATTACTATCAATGACATTTATTCAAGTGGGCGATTCTATTGTTCGTTTAGAATGTCACGGTAATGATATTTGTGTTAGAAATAGCTGTTGGTGTTTAGCAAAAAAAAAAGATGAATGTGATATCAAATGTCTTCTGTTTGTATGACTCTACGAATTTAGCAAAGAGATTGATTTTCAGTTAATGGAATATAATTAGATATGTAAATGAAACTTTTAGAAGATAATTGAAAAAATTATGATAATACTCTTCAAAATAACTGAATCAGATATTAACATGACATTTTAATGAAATTATACAGTCAGAAATGAATTGTTCATACAAGGCGCACATTTTATGCTGTGAAAATGGAAGATAAATTTGTCTGGAAGGTATTTATTTTCTTCTTTTTTCTATGAAAAAATAATAGAAAATAAATTTTCATAACAAATATGGATTTCAACGAGGTAATAACTGACAAAATTTAGATTAATAATCGATAGAGAAACAACAAAGAAAAATATACTAACAGAATGAATGAGATGTAACGAATAAATAAAAAACAAAACAAAAAACTAATATTGATCATATTAATAGAAGTATCAACAACGTTGAATAATAACCACCAAGAGATTGAAAGAAATATGGAATGAAAACGAACTTTTTTTTCACTTTTGTCCACATTTATTAAGTCAAAAAAAATCTTATCTGAAATTATTTATTAATTACCGATTTTATCAAATATCGATTGAGTCGTGTAATCTCTGCTTGATATTACTGTTCTTGCCCGGTTTATCTGCTATTTTCTCATATATCATAATAAATTAGAGGCATCTCCAACGTATTGGAATGTAAACTAACTATCATTGAGATAGAAATGTACACTGTATTTGTATCAACATAACGTAGTCACACCACTACTATTATAATACGGAATGTTTAACTTGAATTAGAAATGAATTGAAAATAAGTATATTAAATTGGTTGTTCTCCAACATCGATTGAAAAATGTGTAAATAAATGATACAAAGTTACATTTAAAATTTTATATTTGACATTATTTACACCATCTGAATCAATACGAATATGTGCCGTTCGTAATACTTTTAAACGTGCCGGATTTAATTGTTGATGTAAATGTTTTAACATTTTATATCGAGCAATAGATGCTGGAGGACGTTCTAATGTCAATTGTTTATTAACAATACGAGAATACATATCTAAAAGTATATATATAAACAACAATTTGATTTGAAATAAGATCGAAATAAAACACTTACCATCATCCTCACCACCCCAACCCCAATAGTTTGTTGAATAACCGTTCACTAATACATAATGTTCTCGTCGTAATGCTGAAAAAAAATTTTTTGTATATAATAATTTAAAAAAAGTGAGAATCAACATACCTAATACACCGCCAACTAATGATGAATATGGAAGATAAAATTGAAATTTATCAATAGCCACGGATAAGTGTCTTGGATTTCTAGGACATGTGTACATATTTCGATCATCAATTAGTAATAAATCAACATCATGAAAGATAAAGCATTGTGTTTTTGGTTCAATTAATAGTATTTCTTTAAAGCATGCGTTCATCACAATTCCTTTATTAAATGTTTTATTAAATGCTTGTTCACAAACATAAATTCGATAATCAATTTGTTGACGTTGTAATATTGTATGGGTATGATAGAGAAAATGTCCAAGAATATCTAATCGATTACGATATGGTACAATAATGCCAACTTTATGTCGTGCTAAACAATCTGTTGGTTGACTTGAACCACCATATTGAACTTGAGGATGATAAATAGAATTAATATCTGTTAATATTGTAAAATTTTTTGGTGGATCAGTAATTGATATTGGTCCTTTAAGATCTGGAGGAATTGGTGGACAATAATTGTGTTGTAAAATAGATTTATTTATTAAATAATTAGTAAATGAATTAATTAGAGTACGATAAGTCATATCAAATTGATCACTAATATCTTTAGATTTTATTAAATATGATTTTGTAGTGTTAAGTAAATGTTGATTATTATTATCGAGTGATTTTATATTGTGGCTGTCGATCATATCACTAGTTTTAGATGTAACTATATTTCTATTCTTTTTTTCTTGTTGTTCATGGAATTGCATACTACGACGAACAATATATACAATATTACAGACGCTTGTAATAAACATAAATAGTGTACATAATAAACATAATACACGAACTTTATCTTGCCGATATATCATTAACATTATTTGTTTATTATTAACACCATAAGATCGAACCTAAATTAATAAAAGAATAAGTTCTCTACTATTATCCTGCAAGTTTAATAAGTCAATGTACTATACGTGTACATGCCAATACGAGCTTTTATTGAAAATAATCCAACTTATTTTTATATTTTCACGTACGTTGGATTCACATCTACATCGTTTATTTGGATCTTCGAACGTGACGTGTAAACTGTAAAATACAATTTTACTAAGTTCATACAACACGCATATTATCATGCGATCAGTTAAACTACTTAAAAATGTTTATTTTGTCTTCTCGTTTTACTTGGAATGAGAAACCGTATGTTTATCATGAGAAACATGAGTTTCAAGTGTTTTTTCAAGTACGTTTAAGAGATAGAGACAATATTATATAGAAGCAAAATGTCTAATTGGAGCTAACCAAATCGGTTAGACAATGTCTCAGTTTAACGATAGTGCTTGAATTCTGAATCATTGTGTATAGTTGTTGTATTTATCCTCTTGTCTCAATTAATCTGATTTTCTTAAGAACTCTCTAATTTGATAATTAAACCAAGTTAATTCTCTTAGTATTTACATCAAAGATCATCACGGATTACGTAAAATTCATGAGGATCATGGGGCGAGTGTAGCCAGAATTTTTCAAAGACTCTGCTGGTCAACAATATGAAGTATTCACGGATGCAAAGCAACGTTTGCGATTTTGAAAAAATAGTGTAGCAGATTATAACACGATATACTTTTATTGCAATAAAATCGAACTTTGCTTGTTTATTCAGAAGACCCTGTAGAAGCAATGATTTTGCTTATATCTGAGAAATATCTTGTTAATCGGTAGTAAGCAGTATTAGTCTTCGACAAATCAATGACAATGTGGGAGTAGCATTTAAAAACTGTCTTCTGTCATTTTTAGATCTATCAGATTTTGTGTTTTCTTCATATCAGGTTGATATGTCTGCTATATTCATTAAGCGCAGGAGTTGTTTTTACAAAAATTAGAAGGGTGGATTGTCCCAAATTGCCCTTAATTTTCTAGTGTAATCACCATTAAAACAGTTACTACGTAATCCGTTCAAATTTAAGAACCTGAATTTTTTTCAATACAGTCTATGGAATCGATCTTTACAAATAAATAGCTGTCAGATTGACTGGAACCAAAAGCTCAAAGCCCTTTTAGGACGAGCTTTGATTTAGAAAAGGTATAGAGGATTACTACAGACAGATGTAACTCATCACTGCTATTAAACTCTATATCGGGAGAGAAGTTATGATACTATGTTATTCCGCCTCTCGTACACAATAACCATATCCACTTACATTGAAAAAGTAATAATTAATAATTTCTAATCTTTAAAGCTTATCATAAAAACAAAAAAAGGAGAACAATGAATTAAACTTTAGCCTCCAGAAGATTAATATAAATACTATTTTCCCTTAAGATATAATAGAAAACCATAGAGATTTTCTATTCTATGTTTTTCTTTTTTTTAATAAATTAAACAGGAATTCCGTTTTCTCACCTGTTGAGGTTAAAGAAGTGTTATAGTAATGTCCCACTTCCTCTCATTGGTATTTTGTTTATAAAGGATGGGAAGATAGAAAGTAGAACTGCTTAAAGTCTATCAAAAGTGTAAGTTAAAAACAATCACTTCTAGTAGAACATAGTAAAATATCCATTGGATATAGTTTGTCAAACACCGAAAGAAACTTGATCATAAACAGAATAAACGTCTACAGAATTATTTTACAATTTTTCAAATGTTTGAAGAATTTTGAATCTAACTAAATGAGCACAAAAACTGTCAATAGGAATCTAACAAATAAAGAGATATCTCTTTTCATATAAGATATCCCACACTCTAAAAAAAATTCATAGATTAAAAAACTACAGTAAAAGAGTTTTTTGAACTAAAAAACTGATCAAAAAACCCAAAAGAGTTTTTTAACGGTTTTTTAGGCCAAAAAACTAAAAAGCGTTCGTGGTTGTTTTAAAATGAAAAATGCATGGTTTTTGGTTGAGTTTTTGAGTCTTTTAGCCAAAAAAAACTCTTCCTCCAACTCTTTTATTGTAGTTTATTAATCTACGACTTTTTTTTAGAGTGTATGTGTAGCACATTTTTTAATCTCAGTTATCTTGTAAGGCTTTGTATAGGAACTCTGAGTTAGTTTTTTATTATACCACGCTGCATACTAGCACTCAATTTACTTCTGTTATAGTCAAATATAACCATTAAAACTATAGACAGGTTTTCAAATATTGTTCGTGAACTGATAAAGTATAAATAGTGTTCTCAAATCCCCGACACAATAGTAAGATTACACCCTGTGTTTAAAAACATGTGCAATACGCTATTGTATAGGTTTTATCTTTCTTTTCCTTTCTCTATTACTACGCTATGAGAACGTTTTCTTCTTACTTGTTTAAATCGCATCGTACTTAATATTATCCGTGGTGGTGGATTCCAGCGCATGAAAAAAACTTTACACCTGCGATTTCCAAGGTGGGATAAAATAAAAAGCATGCACGCACACATATTAGTACGGTAATCTTAACTATGTGAATGATTTGTTACGAGTGATCAACGAATACACCATTACCACTCAGCTGTAAAACCAAAGAAAAAAGAGAAACATTAATATTTATGTAAATCAATCACTATCACAATGTGCCAGTTTGGTATACAAAATGCAAATGATTCTATTTTTTAAAAAATCGGATGGTCCCAACTCTCACCCCTTTTTTTCTATAACAACAATATGCGACAAAAAGTTCTATTATCACGAACTATGTTTCTCGAGATATATTTTTTTATTCTGTTCTGGAGTCAGGTTTTTGTATGTTGTTGTTTTTCTTTTGATTTTTTTTTGTTATAGGACAAGTTCAATGTGTGGTGTATGATGATCGGAAATGAAAGAGAAGAGAAAACGACGGAATGAATATGAATATATATGTCGTTCGTTTGTATTTCATCTTTCTGTCTGTAATAAGCTTTACTGGCAATGTGTATTGTTTGTATGTTATATAGCATAAATGTTTGGACAGAAGATCGTATGTTTATGACAGAAAGACAATCAGTAGCATGATTGAAATTGAACTTAGACGATTGTGTAGCACGAATAGGGAAATTTAAAACACTTCGAAAAAATAGAAAAAGAACCTTAATAGAATCATTTTTTTGCTGTAAGCCCTTTGATTCTATCATCCAGAGAAAAGAATATGACACAAAAGGTGTTGTAAAAGAGAAAATTCATCATATCTCGAAGCAGTTTTCGTCCTTTAGTTGGTTAATCGCATGATTTTAGGAAAAATTACTCCGAGTATATCGTGCTGTCTAAAAAATTTCAGAAGATCCTGATGCACTTTTCTGTAATATTGATTTACTATTTAGATGACAAAGTTCATTGAGATGAAAGCGTTTTTTACCACGGGACAAGTTGATTTTAAATAGTGAAATTTTACCGGTCATCGTGCTATGGCTACGAACAAAGAAGGCATCGAACATACATATAAGTTGTTGGAACTCTAAACCAATTATTGTTCTCTCAGAAGGCATTTACATTGATGTATTCTTTCCGATTACGAAGAAAACTGATCGATCTATCATGCAATGCCGAGTCATGCGTCAAACTTTTTCATTGTTTAGGAAATTACATGCATGCCAAATATTCGATTAGGTTGTAAAATGAAATCCGTATAGCTCCACTATGTATAATTGTATTGAAAACTTTTCACATTTCTTTTTATCAAAATATTGAGGTTTCAGAAATAAATGTTCTAACATTTCTATTGTTTGTACGAGATAAAGATTTGGTGTTAATAAAGCTGAATATTTTAGTTTTATTGTTCGATTACAAGCAATTTGTTAGAGAATAAACGTGCATGTATTGACCCATTGTCCATCCTCGCACACATATAGAAAACCGAAATTGAGGGACAATAGAATTATCGATACAATTGTCTTCTTTTTTAAACAGCATCATCCTCTAAAACTGAAGTCTCCTCTGTCGTTATCTCATATATACGTATCATTTTTGCACAGTTTTTATTCATATACAGTTTGTTGTCCTTCTATAGCTTTTCTTCGATGAGAATAAAACCGATAAATGGGAAAAAAGAGAACGACAAAGACACATTCAAGCGTACATCAGAGCAAAAAATTGACAATTAGACGAGTATTTGACCTTAATATTTTAACCTCACGACAAAATAGATTATGAGACTAATGGTGCATGATTACATTATGACTAATTTCAACAATGATAATAAAAAATTTTGTTACTAGTACAAATGACTGTTTTATAGTCGTTCTTCATAGTCATTTGCTAGTTTCATAGTAGTTTTTTCTATGATGTAGTGAAATTACGCAACTTTTTACTGGTGTACAGTACAGAGAGCAGGAGGGCATTTCAATAATGAATGTTTCAGTAGTTTATAAAAATGAAAACAGTAATTGAAATTCCCTTTCGTTCTTGTTTATATCAGATATTTTCATCTAATAATCTTATGTACTTGAACACTTTCAAACATAAACAAACTGCACTTTTTATCGCTATTTTATCGAATTTCTAGTCCTAATCCATGAGATTTTTTTGCGTTAGAAACGGTGTCCAAATGCGTCCAAATGACGAAATAATAGAAACGCGTTTCGTATATCGATTAAACGGCTAAAAAACGTGCTTTTATTATTTTGTCGTTTCCATGCGTTTGGACACCGTTACCATAAAAAAACCTCATGAGAAGTTTCTGTACAACAAAGAAGGGATAGAATAACCTTCTGTAAAGCAAAAAGTGACAGAGTAGAAGTTTTAGTGGCAATTAATTCTGAAAAAGGATTGTCTGTTCATTTTTTGGAAAATCCAGGTCCAAGAATGAGATAACAAGATCTTGGAAGATCTTACAAAATCATATAATAAGAAATCACAAGATTTCAAAAGATCTTATATATTCTTATCAATTACCTCTAAGATCTTACAAGTTTCATATGACATCTGGCAGCAAGATTCTTATAAGCTTTTACAAGATGTTTCATATGATAGGAATGTACAAGATCTTGTATGATCCAATAAGACCTTACAGAAAGAAGCTGTAAGAAATTATACGACCTTATAAAAAGTTAAAAGATTTTATATGATCTTATAAGATCATACGCTTGATCAATTCCTGTCGAATCCCTTTCATACCCCTTGCAATTTCTTTTTCTATATAATTTCTAACATTTACAGGTCCTAGGCGACCCCAGACCGTCTTTTCTCACGTTTCTTAACCATATGTGCTCAGCTACCCTAGTAAAAATCTTAGACACTTCTTAACATTATCTTACTAAGATCTTATCCTTTAAGATTTTGATAAGATAATCTAAGATCTTATTGTTTAAGATCTTAATAAGATTTAATGACTCTGCTTTCATTCACCCTTTTGTTTTGCTCTCATTCATCTATATAAGTGCCCGAAAATATGAGTGATTATACGCGTATTTTTCTTCCTGACGCTGCTGGTACTTGCTCTCTCGAAAGTGTTTAACAACTTTTTAGAGAGTGTACATGCAGGTCAAGGTCCATAGTTGGACACCTGAAAATATCAAATTTCTCTTCATTCTTCAACTTGGATAATGCAGATTAAAACTTGAATCTCGGATGAACATTATTTAAAAAACGTTATCGGTCTTGCTATTAAGATCCTAATACATTCTTATTCAATCTTGATAAAGTCTTAGACAGTACAATCTTAGTGAGATCTTAGAAAAATCTTATCAAATCTTAGAATTTTCGGGTCTCACCATCTTAGTAAGATTTGAGTAAGTTTTTCACTAGGGTAACGTGTGAAGTTGAAAAGAGAAAAAGTTTTTCAAAGAGAATGATGTTATATATATACTGTACTGTCGCAAAATTTATGTGGTAGAGATGAGTCATCGAACTTATGAGATCTTGTAAGATCTTATGACAAGAATTCATATGATCACAAGACGTGGTTCACCTGGGAAGCTGTTGTAATAAGCACGCGAACAAATTTAATCGATTCAAACTGTTATATTATTCAGTAGAAAAAAATATTACTTTAAGTATAAATTACATAATTCTTAAAAAGCGGTGTCCATAAATCATGTGATTACTTTTTTCTACTTGTTTATCCCCTTCCTACTATAACGATTAAATATGACCATTAACTGATCCGTTTTCTCTAATCAAGTGATCAAAAACATTTTTTTTCAAATTTTCTCAAGCGTCAAACTTTTATTATATAAAAAACAATCGTTTTCTGCCGTTACACTAGTACAGTTGTGTACATCTCTTTAAAGTGACTCCTTATTGTGTGCACTCTTCAATGGAAAGGTTTCAGCTTGAAACCAATCTTTCTAAAGTAGGCACATGAGTAATAGAATTGCAAAACAGCTAGTTAAGAAAAAACTATACCTTAGTGGTTATTCAGTTTTACGAAAAATACTTAAAAATGTTCTTTTTATAATTCATTCGTTGAAAAAACTTTCGAACATATATGATCATTCCGTAGATCTCTATTTAACGTTTATAATATACTGTTACAAGCGTGTTTGGAATTGAAATTTCTATCATCATCTTTGTGTTGATAAAATAATTCAACATCAGAAAATTCAACTATATGACGATAACATAATTTTAACATTTAATTTTGGTATTAAGGAAATATGAAATCGAAACAAAATGAACTGCCATTGTGGAAGCAATTAAATTCATCTGTACTCAATTTGATGACAGAAAAAGCAATTTTGGCTTTTTCTTCATATTTTTCTAAAATAACTTTCGCACACATGGACCATCTTAACGCTGAAAAATCACCGAACTAGAAAATGTGACGGGCGCTCATATTCTTCCCGCTACAGGCGATTACGAGGTTTATGGCTACCACGAAAAGATGTTTTTTAAATGGCTAAAAGACACATCATCAAGTGGTTATTGGAATTCTATACTCAGTAAAGTATAAAGTCTTCAATTATTACTAAAGAAAATTAACTTATTTTTTACGTTATCAAATGTGTAATTGTTCGAAACGACTAGTTATAATCAATACACTGACATGCAGAATCAGTTTTACCTTACTCTACATCATTGTGAACAGTGATTAAGAAAATGTATTTCCCATAGATCAATGAAATTTAAAACATTTGAGCTTCTATTCACCCAACGGTAAGAGGCACGTGAATTGAAGTTATTGTTAACACTTCAGCATGTCTGCTTATCTAACCTTTAACCCGTTCTAATTCTATTATCTTTTATCTAATATATCTTGTGTTAAAACAGAATATTTCAGAAAATGAATCCTGAAGGTTTTTTTCACTCACAGACACTACACTGCCTTGTAGTTGTGGTGTATTTTACATGATAAAATTTAAAGTAAAATAATATATGAAAAAGATCAAATCAAATTGTTTCATCACGCTTATGAGAAAATTGTTATTTGTTTGTAAGATTAAAAGAAATGTAAATACGATATGGGTCATTGGAAAAAAGCAACATATCTCTTACCTTTTAATCTTACCGGCAAATACATACAGCTAGTGGATGTTTTATAATGACAAACAGTAGAATGCCTATTGTATCGTTCAATTGCATTTGAACAATTTGTTTTTGTCAGTGTGTTTGCTTTTAAAACCCATACCCTTATTCTATCGTGTGTACTTCTTGTCATTAACAGAGATAACATCGGTTACGTGTGAATGAGAGCGCAAAGAAATAAAAGAAAGAAAGGGCAGGAAGTTTTTAAAAAAATATCATGAGAAAGGATAACCTTCATGGAGTGTATTGAGAGATAAATAAGGCGTCACTAATGCAAATATAGAGCAGAATTCTTTCCGGTTTTTTTGGCACGACTGGATGGAGCTCATCGAGTTGAGTAAGAAAAAACAGTTTTTAATTTTTTAAAAGATCGAAGGAAGAAAAAAATTGAAAACATTCGAAGAGTCTAAGATTTCAGAAAACCCTTTAGTTTCAAAAAAATTCACATTCTTTTCTTTCTTGTGCTTCTAACTTTTTGAAAGTATCTGTTTCAGATTCAGCATTAAAAACTGAGTATGAGAATGATGCTTGGTCGAAGTCGAAGTCAGAGGCCTGTTCAATATGGACGACTTGGACTCCTATTATGAAAAGTTCATAAATAATTTTGCAAACCTATTTAGTTTTTTCTGTGAAGAGATGAAGTCGATTTTTGTACTTTATTAGAACCTCTATTGAACGTGCTTTAAAAGGATGGATCATCCGCTTTCTTTTTCTATTTTGCTTTGTTACTGAGAAAATTCATATTTTCTAAATCAGGAGCGAAAAACTTTGAAAATTCGCCCGTTATTCTCAATTTTCTCCACCAGAACTCAAATTTTATGCAAAATATCATATTCGGAATCAGCGTCACAAACTGAATCGAATGACATATATTTCGAAACTTTTTGTTTATTTTAATTTTTTGATGAAAATCTTAGTAATTTTTGGAGCTTAAAGTAGCCGGATAGACTAAAAAGTACACCATTCGATGGTATACTTACTTACTCAAATCAAAGTCCTATAATAACGAACTATACTACTACGAACTACTTTACTGGTTAATGTCTCAGAATAGGAGAACAATAGTTTCAGACAAAGTTTGTGTGCCATTCTGCAAGGATCCTGGTATAACCTGTGTTTTCATGTGAAGAAATGATCAATCAGCTTTTAGAGGAAATCTCACTTTAATTGATTTCCGTTCATTGTTAGATGTTGAAAGAACAAAGGATGCGTAGAAATTTTTTTTATATGCATACACTTCAGTTGTCGTCATAATTTCTTGTATCGATGAAAAATGTTTCTTCAGGTTATCAAGTGAACATTTTCTTTTTGTTTTGTCGTCTCTTAACCATAAGCACAGAAAGTTTGTTGTCTAATTTGTCCTCAAGGCAAAAACCTGTTTTCGTCTCATTCACTCATTTATCCAATGATTACACTTTAATTTTCTCATAAACATGAATGAAGCTCACAAGTACTAACTAAAACACATTTAGAAAAAACAAGGTAAATTTGTTTAAGGAAAAGAAAAAAAAGTCACTACATAAGAATTAACCTTGGCCGGGTAGCACCTAAAGGTGCTAAAAGGTAGAACTCCCAATACTGAGACATCTAGTCACGGTTGTGTGCGCCTTTTTACGAGGTTGTGACTACCATTTTAAGACGTTATGTGCGGTATTTTAACAGGTTCTGTCCTCCAGAAGGGAGCGGGAGCGGGAAGGTCAAATTTATCTTAAAACTAGCGGTTCTGGGGTATAAAACTGTTACTCCCTCTTCTTCGAAGATAGCGAAGGAGTAACATTATGGCTAATAGCCGTATAGTATTTGGCTATACAAATTATTCCTTCTTTACCACTCAGGATGAATTCAGAGTACGTCAGAAAGAGGAAAATCATCAATTTTTCCCTCGCAGAATCACCCATGCAAACTTTCTTTTTGCTGCAAAGTTTACCTTTAAAGTCACAACCTAGAATTTTATGATAAAGCTTAGCACACGTTCATCGGCCAAATATTTCTTTGAGAATAACGTCACACAAGACATGTGGAGAATTTTCCTTTTAGATATCCCGCATCCAGGAAAATCCTTTCTGAATTCCTGGTAGACATTCAGGAATATGGAAAAATAAAATCGAAATATAATAATAATATAATAATAAAATAAAAATCGAAAATAGAATCCCATAGGATTCCTATATGCATTTCTTACAAAATCCTACGATAAGATCTTGTGTAGGATTTTGTAGAATTCCTATTTTTTCGTTCTGTATATATTTTCTTTTCTTTTTCTATACGAGAACGCAATCACCGACGTACTCTGTAAACAACCCTGAATATTAGAAACTGAGTACGAGGCCTACATAAATGTACTCATTGAAAAAGAATACATTTCACAAGAGCAGAGCCAAAGAAAAAAAGTTCTGAAAGTGCAAAGAGCTGAATTAAATTGCAAACAGGAGAAACCAATTTTTATGTGAATTAACAATGACTGTGTTATTCTTTGTCTTTATTTTTACCGGCATGTTTTGCAGTAGCTATCTTAATCAGTCATTAATAATGTTGTGATATAATCGTGATGATTAATGCCTATATTTGAACCAACCTCATTACCCAAACTGATGTCACTTATTCAATCACACTAGCTTCATAAACATCCTCCAACCTTTGAACTTCCTCAGGTATATTTTGTATAGTTTGGCTTGTGGTAGTTAGATGTCCAGTTGTTCTACCCGGACTGTGTTTGATCGGGATAAAAAGTTTGAACACAGTTACCAACATAAGTTCTTTGGCGGTTAATTTGAAGCAATTTCGGACGATGGTATTGAGATAGCATCAAAAACTACAGAATATTTGATGCACGGTTAAAAACTCAGGTGAACAAATATAAATAGATACGGATTAATCATAATATCTCGTAAATATGTCTATATTATAGCCAAACAACCGTTTATGATTGATATTGGATATAGAGAAAGGTCCATTACATCTGCACATAGAAATGCTCTGCAAACACATATACACGGTATAGAGAACACTGTTTACTTAATGATGAATCACATAGTATAGCAATCATCATAAGATATAAACGATAGTTTAGTTATCTTTGGTGCGCCGATGACTACTAAGTTGATAAATACACTGGTCAACATAATGAAAAAACAGCTGCCTGCAAAAAGGCACATCTACCCAATATAACAAACATAAAGTTTGAAGGAACCGTACTAATCAGATGAACCGCTGATAGGGTGTGCATTTGCTTATTTCGTTATATTTTTTTCTCTTGATTTTCTTGCGAAAAATCAAAAACTAAAGAAGTTTCACGTATGTTTTTGGCTCAGTTTTCGCCGCCCTATAGTCTGAAAGCACGTCTGACCTGCTGAAATGCTCTACTTGCTCTGAAAAAAAGTAGGAAAAGACTAATAGAACCTTTTCTTCTACGAAACCTAGAAGATTTAAAAATGGTCGCATTTCTTTACACCCTTTTACGTTTCTTGCATAAACCTTTTTATTTTAGAGGGTAGAACTAAGAATACTATGTACCCTTCCCAGATAAATATTAGTCTTAACAAAAATATCATCTGTCGAACAGCATATCATGTCGTATTGGTTTTGTTCAAACTATCCACTAACAAACAAATTTTTATCATCTTTCTTTACTTAATAAAATTCATATAAAAACATACTATTGAGTAGTATAAATCACAGATAATGAATCATTCGAAAAAGATAATCGCCTACAAAACAATCAAAATGAAAACACTGTGTTTATTGTACACTGATCAAAAACTTTCATCATCTAATCTAAATAAAAATGATACCAAGTTGTTTGAGTGTATTCTTCACCGGGACGCAATATAGTACTAGGAAATTGCGGCTAGAAAAAATCATAAATATATTTATTTATCACAGTGAATGATCCACGCTTGAAAAAAAGATCAGCGTTTTACCTGATTATTCACGCTATCACTGTAGTTTTGAGTTTCTAAACATAATGCTCCGTATTTGTCATACACCACACCATCATGACCTGTTACTTGTTTCAACATATTACTAGTATATAATTGTAAACCATTTTGTGTTGATTCGGTAGATATAGCCCTGCCTGATTCACGATGTAAAACTCTAATGAAAATACACAACGGAATAAAACACTATAGGAGTATCTCATGTAACGGCGAGGAAAGAAAATAAGCACAAGATTAACAATGATAGATTTGTGCAACCGCGGCGAAAAAGGTCTAAGATGTTCCGAATAAAGCATCATTTGAATTCAGACTGCGTTTTAGTAACTATGGAGGAGATTTGTGGAACTAATTAGCGAGAAAAAGATTTTTGATATTAAGGAAACTAAGCATACTTTAAAACAAGATAAACACTGCAATACTTATCTCTTCTAGATCATGTGCATAAGACATGAAGTAGATGCAGGCTTCGTAGTAGAAAACTTTCAAAAATTCATCGAAAAATTATTTTTTCAAAAAAAATCAGGACAACTACTGTATGTGTCAACAGTAGAGATCTGCACGGGCTGCCCGTGCAGATCTCGGCAATCGACAATGGTGGACCTGGTTTTTGAATGTTTTAAAGCTAACTAACCCAAACCATTAGATGAAAGCTTGTTAAGAAAAGAGGAAATCAAGCTGTTAAGTTTTGTTGCTTTTGCATCTTTCTTCTTCTTATCTGAGCTGGAGATCGGATCATCCACAAACACCATGAGTGCAAGTATAGTTAGTATCTACTTTCTATCGATTTGAGCATAGTGTAATTGATCATGATGAAAGAATCAATTACACTATCCTACTTCGACGTTGAGAGTAAAAGCCTGCGTAGGCAGCAAACCATACGGATTACATTCTACCTTAAATACCACTTTCTACTGCGAAAATTCTGGGAGCCAACAAAATTTCGAAAACATGCTTAATTTGAAAATGGCTCGATCAGCCATGGTCTTCTAATATGAATTTATAGAAATGCCTCGCGGATGACTTGCTAATCAGGGTGGTCTTCTATTCTGGAGAGAGTTTACGCAAGAATATATCGCAGAGTGAAGGAGTCGAATGGTATAGCTTCTATCCTAAATAAGTGAGTGCATCCCACCACCAAGAACATACCAAGAATCGAAGAAAAAATGAATGAAACTAAAACATTGAACTGATAAAACAACAATGAAGTGATACTTTATTGATAAGCGGTATTCTTACTTTCCAAAATAACGTCTTCCACTGCCATCTACTACATACATAATATCATAGCCATCACACACTTTTCCAATTCTTTCGCCTAATAGAGTCAAAGTCCGTAAATCGAAAGATGTATTATCTACGGATGCAATCGTGCCTGAAGACGAAAACACAAAAAACATTATGTCCAGCTTATATTATAATCCTGTCTTCAGTATTTGAAGAGACAAGGAAAAATATCCCTACACATTTACTAAAAACATACTAGTTTTCTGGTAAGCCAGAAAAACATATGTTGTTCGTCACAACGTAGCGTGCTGTTACACAGGTGATTCGAGGCGCATGAAGTTAAGAAACTTGTCCAGAGTTAGCATACGACGTGTTCGAACACGAGTTGTTTAAAGAAGAATATACATATACTATATCAGACAATGAATTATCATTGTTTTACAGATGAATATGGCTCAAAATAAGAGTCAATATAGTTTTTACTTTACCTGTAGGAATAAGTTCATCATCTGTCGCTAGATATCGATTCGAATTTACTTCAATATGATGGTTCAAAATCGTTCCACTATTCTAAAGTATAAAAAAACAAATATTTCTAAATAATTCCAAAGAAACAACCGTTTGCTAGACAGACATGTCCTGCCAAATTAAAATAAGCATGGTTTGTCATATTAATTGGTGTTGCTTGTGTCGATGTAGCATGATAATCGATTCGTAAGTAATTATCATCATTCAAATGGTATGTGACAGTGACATCAACTTGTCCTGGATAGCCATCTTCTCCTGTTCGTCACAAATAAAAAATCAGATAATTATTCGTTGGTTAGTTTTACTGACAATAATAGCGTACCATCCGGACTTTTGTATTTGAAGACAACATTTTCACCCTCAACATAACTGTCCCAAACACGCTGTTATGAAAAATATCGTTAACAAACAATGCTAGAAAATGCTTGACACTTACTTTACTGAACACACCATGTAAATGATGTTTTTTCGTACCATCTGTTTTCTCTAATTCATATAATTTTCCATCTAATTCAAATTTTCCATCTTTTATTCTATTTGTCACTCGACCAACCGTACATCCAAACGAAGATTTATCTTCTACATATCCTTGAAGTGTATCATAACCCAATGTTATTTCGGCCACTTGATTATTTCTATCTGGTTGACGAATTGATTGTATTGTCGCACCGTAATTAATCAAACTGATTTCAAGTCCATTCGGAGATGTTAACGTATACCTTATAAATAGAAAAAAAATATTTTTCTTAGACGCACATAATTCTCTCTTTCTCGGGAGCCTACTTTTTCACTTCATTTTCATTTTTCGTTACACCAAATAAACTTTCAGTGATCTTAACAACCATGCTCGATATCTAGAGCTAAATTTTTTTTGGTAAATTGCGTTTTGAGATTTCCAACGTTCGTAAGGCATGGACATTATTATAAAACACATGCAACTTAGAAAAAAAAAACCGTCTGATAACAGTGTTCCTCAAGTCTACTTGGGAGTATGCTTCATCTGTTAAAAGGAAAGAATATCTCGAGCTTACAAATAATAAGAGAGAAAAGTTGATACTATCATTTTAAACAATTTACTTTTTTAGTAGCGCGAAGTTTTCTTTTATCGAGTTATTCGCTGTCTATCTAAAACAATAGATAGATCCGAAAAGTTATGCATTAAATAAGATATATATAAAGTTAGACGTCGGAATCGTCGTACCAACAAGTAAAAATCAACTTTTTTCACTCGATTGCCGTTGAACTTTTATCGTACTTCGCCATCATCACAAACTTAACCCCAACACAACTTTAGACTCAGTCGTCGAAAATTTTTCATCACCGCCTATAACTGTCTAAGATATTTTTTTCCCATTTCGTATCTACGTACATATTTCTTCTCTATCAATACGCGAAAGAAAGTGACATGATATTTACATGCATATCTCAATTTCTAAACATCTGACTGGTGTTTTATTTTTAAAATTTTTTGAATAAGAATCACCTTTGTAAGAAACCAAATTGAGATGAGCATGTAAACATAGCTTTACCTTAAAAAATTGAAATGTAAGGTAAAGTCTATCGCTTTTATCAAGAATAAATCTAGAAAAATAGAAAAATAGTGGACCCACTAATCAAAGAAAGAACGAAACAAAAAACTTTCTAAAGTGAAAAAAACTAAAGCCTTTCGATTGGATTATTTGAATCAATCAAAAACGTTCTTCTGCCATAATACACATGCAATTAAGATCTTCTTTCTTTCTTTAATAAAGTAAAAATAGTTGCTTTTCTCTTTCATCCTAATCTATTTTTGTAGTATGATGGACGTCAACTTCTTTTGGAGAAAATATGCCGGCGTTTTAAACTTTAAGATGGCTGATTGAAATAAAATAAAATAATTAAAAGCAGACAAATTGAACTAGATTCTGACTTAAAAAATTTAGGAGTTGTTGTTATAAAAATTTTCTTTGTTTCTCTTAGAACATGTTTTGACTGTGTTTAATTTGTATGAGAGCAGAAATAGAAAATGTTTCAATTCTGAATTTCTGCTTCTGTGCTTCAGATAATTTATGGCTTTTAAAGGCAGTAGCTGGCAACGTGGTAAGTTTTTGAATAATATCCAAATGATAAGTAAATAAATTTAATTTTTTCCTAGGCATTGGTGGGTCAAGTGGAATGCCAATGCAAATGAGTTATTCTTCCAATAGCAGCCCTTTATATTCTGTTATGCATAATCAAGTAAGTAAATAAATTTAAAATTGGATTATTTTCTAACAGACTTTTGTTTTATATTTGAAGACCGCTACATTGATGGGTCCATCGTATTCTTCATCAGCAAAAAGTTTACCGTATACTGGGACTGTATCAAATATATACCGTGATCATGGGGTTATAGACAATGAAATCTCATTTAAATTAAAGTACGTATTCCTAATTGTTCTCAAACATTATTTTTCACAACATCGAGTGAAAATTTAACGTCTCGGATAATTGAATTAATACGATGTTTTTGCTTTTTTCAAATTAAGTGCAATTAGTGGTCCAGTGCCACGTGTTGGAGATCGTGTTGTCTGTCAGATGAAACATGCTGAAGGCTATGATACACACAGTACACACAAGTATATTGGTTACGATGTGAGATCGGTGGATAATCGACGACCAGGTAACTTCTTTTTAGAAATAACCCTTTTGTGATATCATCTATAGCGCTGATTATGCTATAGTTTTGATTTCTTTCTGCTATTTAATAACTCAAGTTAAAACTGACTTTTGTTTGTTTATTAGCATAAAGAGTGAAATAACAAGCCTAAAATCTTGATTTCAAACCTGATCGATGTTAATATATAAAGTTACACAGTTACACGACATCTAACAAAAAGAGAGAAAACGTCTAATGACGTGAGCTGGACAGTTTTTGAGTTCGTTTAATGGACACAAGCTTCGGGGTTAAACTAACTTTTCTTACACGGAGCATTTTTGCGTTTTTTTTTATTTACCTCAGATGACTAGAAACTATTACATTCTTGTTGTTGTTTACTTCTTTCAAGCAATTTTTGTGTTTAAATAATATTAAAGAATAAATCATCCATACTGCTAGCTAGAGATCATCTTTTGATTTTATAGGTCGAACAACTGCTTCTGTTCGAACACAAGAACCATATACTAGTCGGCAAGCTCCACGTAATAGTTCCGGTTCAGCATCAATAAACTCTAAACGTACATTGAATAGTAACAGTAATAATAATGTTGTCGAACCATATGGTAGTCGTGAACGATATAACAATACATCATCATCATCATATACTGACAGTGGACGACAAACAACATATCGTAGTGGTCATATAGTTAGCCCCTCTGTTTCCTCCTCGCGACGTAGTAGATCTCGTACAGGAAAAGCAGCCACACCAAAACGTCGCCCACAACCTAAATATAGTGTATTATTACCAAAAGGATCACTGGATTGGTGAGTTAGCACATAAAACATTGAACTAGAAATTTTTATTTATTATTTTTATTTAGCTCCAAACTAAATGTTATTCAGTTACGTTCACGATACAGTCGTTTACATATTCCAAGTGATTTCTTTCACGCGTCTTATACATGGCATGAGTCAATGCCACTTGATCGTCCATTAAAATTTAATGTACCATGTACATTTCATATATTTAATAAAAATGTTCCACGTGTAATCAAGGATACGGCCGTATTAGATCCACAAGATGCCGATTACACATGGAATGTTAGAGTAAGACGAATTCCTTATAAAACACTTCTAAACTAAAATTAATGTACATTGTCCTCTTTTTAGGTAATGCTTATGTCGTCACCTGATATCCAAAATTTAATTGCACGTGCTTGCTTAGTCAATGATAGTTCTTCATCATCTAAAACATTGAATCCAGATGATTTAGAACATCCAAGTAAATTAATTAAATTTTTAGTCGGCGTTCGACATCAAAATGAATATTTTCCACTTGGTGGCGCTTGGTCGGAAACACTGGACGGACAAAATCCAGATAACGATCCGCAAGTTTTAATTCGGACAGCAATTCGTACCGTTCAAGCACAAACAGGCATTGATTTAAGCAAATGCATTCAATGGTAATTATTGAAATCAACGTAAAACAGATTCTGTTGCAATCTGTAAAAGCAGTTAAATTAGTGATCCTTTTTTGGTTGAAAAGATCCTGAAAAGTCACTATTAGAGAGACTTTCTATTTATGGAAATTTCTTGAACAAAAGCACATTCCTAGAATTTTAGTGTCAGTGAAAGACATACAAATTAAAATGGCATAAAGGCTAGCTTGGCAATGGGTGAGAATTTTAAAGTACACGTAGATCAAGCGCGATGTCAACAAATTCTATGTTGGTAGTGAGTTTTAGCCCTTCGGCTATTTTCCTTCGAGTTTGATGGTAACTGACTTGCCTATTAAAGTTGAATTTGAAGTGATGCATTAAAAGTCAGTGAGAATCGTTTAGAAATAGATTTGATCCAGAGAAATCATAGGACTTAATATTACTTTTTTAAAGCTGATCATGTTTTGATAAGAGACTCAAAGTTAGAGTTTTCCTTTGAGGATACATGTTGTTATATCTTTATATCTTCTCATTAATTTTCTATCTCTTTGAATTTCCTTCCGTCTGTAAAATATATTTCAAAATCTTAAAATTCCATTCAAAATAAAATCAAACACAAATGCTGACCAATCGATTTTATTTACACGCCATTATTTAACACCATTATCGATTTTTTGCTTCAACAGCGTAAGAGGAATGTGTATCATACATACCATGGTTTCTCTTCCTGTTCCTTTTTAAGAATAACCAACAAAGTGAAAAAACTGTCTTCTCAGCATTAAATCATATCAAAATCATCTATTAATATATATATCTTGTGTGTGCTCATCATAGGTGCCGATATCTGGAAATATTGTATCATCGTCCAGAAGAAATACACAAAGGTCGCCTTGTTGGAAGTCGAGTTGAGCATGTCATTGTATTTTTGCCTGATCTATCGACAACATGTATGCCAAATAGCATGGAATGGGAAGAAACGTCAAAATTATACAAACAAATTTGTGATGAAACAATCAGTGAAGAACTCAGTGAAGATACAACACCTGTATATAACAATTATTCTCTCTCTTTACTCTCTTCTTTTATTTTGTTATTTTACTTCTTACTCTCTCTCTCTCTACTTCTCTCTCGCTCGCTATGATGGAGTTTGGTCTACCAGGCTGCGTATGTAGAAAATCAACAAAATTTATGCATTAGCACTGTTTTTTCGAGTCTTTTTGAATAAACAATTTTTGTTTATTTATTTAATTGGTAAACATATTAGAGAGAAGTTTAATTAAATTTTCTATTTAGGACGAAGAACTTCAATCACGAACAGCTACGCATCATTCAAAAGTGGATTTATATAATATGAGAGTAAATGCATAATTAAGTCTATTCTGTGATTGATTATCAATAATGTTTATTTTTCTTCTTTAGGTTGTTGATCTTAAAGCTGAATTGAAAGCGCGTGATCAACCCATAACAGGTTTAAAAGCTGATTTACTCAAACGTTTAAACAAAATTCTTCAACAAGAAAAAGTGCGTATAGTTAGTGCGCATAAACCTTTGATTTGATGTCTCTTTTATTTTAGACTGATGACAAAAAAGATGAAACTATAGCAAAAGAAGGGGAAAAGGGAATAACACCGTCTTCATCACCTGATAACAAAAAAGAAGAACAACATCGCTCAACAAAATCTGAAAAAGATCAACAAGTGGATGTTGAAAAATTACGTAAAGAAATTGAATCAAATTATCAATTACCTCCACAGCGTTCAATATTGGTTCATCCAACAACGGCTAAAGGCGATAAATTTGATTGTCGTGTCGTATCATTACATTATTTATTAAACTATGCGAACCATGATACAATCAAAGAAAAATGTTTTGAAGTAAGCTTAGTTTAATTTCATCATTAAACAATTCTTTAAGTTATTTTTATTATGTTTTAGTTATATCTGTTTTCTGAATGTTTTTTTGAAATGTTAATGCGTGATCATAGTTATCAGATTTATCGTTCATTATACAATTGTCTTGAAGTTAAAGAAGTTGCTTCTGTATCTTCTACTGCAAATGATACGACAACAGGTAAACAAGAAGAAATAATAACTGATGAAACAGTCGAAGAACACCAACAAAACAGAACAATGGAAACTGAAAATGGACAAAACGAAGAGATAATAACACCTAACGAGGAGGAAAATGCAACAAATGACGAAATAGAGACAAATATAACAAACGAACCAACCGCTGAACCAGAAAAGGAAGAAGAGCACGCCCATCAAGATCAAGAACAACAACAAGAGGAACAACAAGTCGAAGAAGATGACGAATTGGTTCAAATAGCAGAATCAGGTCGAAAACGAAAACGTTCAAAAAGCAAGGTATGTTAAGAGTTATAATACATGTAACTTATTTCTAGTTAGTTGCCTATTTATTTTGCAGGAAGAAGTTTCCAAAAAAAAATCTTCGACGTTAGATGAAAGTAGCACTAAAAAGGTAATTTATAAATGTTAACGTTAAAATTTTCAGAAATTATCATGTTTTCTTCTGTATGTATTTAGGATACACGTTCGGATACAAAACATTCAGCGAATAATACATCGGGTAAACGTGATAATACACGCTCAAGTCGTAGTCGTAGTCGAACAAAACGTGGTAATGATGAATCCAAACAAAATGTTGTTACACGTCAACAAACTGTTAAACTTGAATTATTATTATCATATACATTTTTTGATCGTAATCGATGCGGTTATCTAGGTGAAAAAGATGTTGAAGAGATATTACTGTTGTCCGGTTTATCGTTAACAAAAAACGAGGTAGATTAGCAGTTTAATTAACGTCTTTTTGTTCCATTGATGTTATGTTTCCTAGGTCAAAATGTTGATTAGTCGTGTTGCTAAAGACGAAAAGATACAATACAGACGTTTAACTGATAGAACAATTACTGTAACAAAAGAGGAAAGTGAAACAACGATTAACGAACAAGATGAAAGTTATATTGATTCATCAGCACCCAAAGGTGACAAATTAAATTTAAGTTACTGTTTTAAATTTATATCATTTCTACATTTGTTTAGGCAATTTGTTGTTATTACCACAAAAATCAGCTATGTCTAATGTGCGCCCAACATTGATCAAGAATGAACAAACTATTGAAGGCAGTGAAGAAGACCATATCCATTTAGTTGACATTGACCGTGCATTAAAACAATTAGAAAAAGCTAGTAAAACACAAACAGCGCTCGAAACAAGTATTGATGTGTTGAAGAAAGAGATACGTAAGTTAACTCTTAATATAAAGAGAGAAATTATCAAAGAACGTTTCATTTGTCACTGTTTTAATGTTTTCTTTAGAGACATTGACAAGTGACTTGAATTCATCTCAAAAAAATAATCATCATTATAGCGACCAATTAGTCGATACCAAAAAACGTCTACGTGATACACAACGTGATTTAAAAGATATAGAAGAAAAACATAAACGTTACTCGGATGCCATTTACCATTTGAGAAATGAAGCACGTTCATCATTCGATTATGCCAGTCAAATATTAGGCAAAGATAAACGCCATGATAATTCCAGTAAAAGACAAGATGATCATTATCAAGTATCATCGAATAAACATGATGATTCATCATTATCAAAAAATGATCAAAATAAAAAGCAAGAAAAACAGCAGCAAGACGAAGAATTTGATACGAATGATAATGCGGAAGTGATTATTATTGGCGAAGAGGATCAAGAACAACAGCAGCATTTATCACAGGAAGCAGAGGTTAATGGTGATGAGCAACTGGAAGAACAAAATGACCAACAGCACCAGCAAGAACCACAATCCGAAGATCAAGAGGAAGAACCACAAGGTGCTAACGAAGAAGAAACTGAATAAACATAGGTGAAAAACACACATACAAACTATTTTTTCTGTTATTCCAGACCCTTTTTTTCTGTTTATTGGTTTGACGTGTATCAGAAAATTAAGATTTCTGTTGTTTTTCTCAATTTCTTTGCTTCTTATGCTCTTTCATTTGCATGTGTCTCTATTGTTGTTGCTTTTTTCCTGTTTTTTGTTTTTTGTTTTGGGTTTTCTTAAGCCTATTGGTTGTCTGTATGAAGATTAGCCATGTCTTTTCTGTATCAATATTTTATTTGTTATTTCAAATCAATTAATTGAATAAAATAATTTACAAAATCGGTAGCTGATCGTAGATTGTAAATCAGTATACATATCATTCAATACGATATTCATTCAAGAATCTTGAAAAATGAGTAGTTTATCATTGAAAGATAAATTTATTAGAATAAAAAGCTGTTCAGATGGCTATTATATATTGATAACATTTTTTAACCTAAGCAAAAACAGCAAATCTGAAAGACGCATTGAGATTTACTTTAGTCAGAAAATGGCTTCACTGAACAGAAGAATCAACGTCTAAGTATCCCAGAAAATGGTATACAACATCTTCATCAACAGACATCATCTATAACACAGTCTATTAAATTATCAAACTAAACCAAGATGGGCTTTGTTTGGTTATATTTGCTGAGAATACGATAAATAAGAGAATCATTAATGATCCAACAAATATGGAAACGTTACTTTGCGCAGATACCTCTGGCATCTTGTTTGATGCCATATGCTCCTTTTGTTTTCTTTCTCAGACCGTATTATATTTGCTTTGTTCTGTTCGAGTCAAATGTGTATTCCTATTCAAAAACATTTGTACAAAAACTTCGTTTAGCAGTTCATTGAACCAGAGCTCTGCACGTTGCCACTTTTTGGCAACCTATAACCTAACCTATAAAAAATTTCACAACCTAATCCTAACCTAACCTATGGATTCGACAACCTAATCCTAACCTAACCTATAGGTTAGGTTAGGTTAGGATCAACCTGCAGGGCTCTGCATTGAACCAGTTCTTTTAGTGTGATGCATACGACGGTATGTCGCATGTCATCGTCTTTTAGTAGTGAAATGAAGTTGCGCCGCATCAGTGCGCATTTGTGCCGTTGCGATCATAATTGTAAAGATAAAGTCGCAATTCGTCCACATTGCGGCGCAGGTTTACCGGAACCTAAAACGACTGAACACACTGTATAGGAACACCCCACCTGAGCCGATGGGCTACTGTAGAGAAACGAACTATGTAATCGTCATTCCTATAGTCTAAAACCTTTGTACATTTAATAGGAATGCCACCTTTTTCCATCAAATTTTTCAACCGTTGTGATTCTACTGTAATCTCTACTGTCTTCTTCTACTGTAAAATTGGTTACTGCTTTTTTTAATTGGCTCTCTTTCGAGCAATACGGAGATTTTCCGACAGCTGTAGTAAAATAGTAAAATTTAGGAAACATGTGGCATTTGACGAGCTGCTAATGCCGAAGATGAAATGATGAGCAAGTCAGAGCAAAATAGAATAAATCTAGAAAGACTAGAAACAGCGCCAAGCGCTCTCATTAATTAAGTGCGACACGCAGTGTTTTAATAGGAATTTCTTTCAGAGTGGAACTTTCCACTTTGCTGTTAATATCAAAGTGAGATTTTTCACTTTGGTCTGAAATGTAAAGTGGACAAAATGGGAACAGGACAAACTTTTTTCCAACAGCGACTAGAAGAGAATTTTTTTATCGTCTCGCGGGTTTTGTTTTATCACTTTCAGTCAAATGGATCGAAATTAACTTCTCTACCCCCTCCTTAGTGATAAGAAATTGTTATAATCTGTTGTGATGTTTGTACCCAGGTCGACTAAAACGGATATCCGTTACGGACCGTCTACTGGACGCAGGAATACGGACCGTAACACCATTAAAATAGGGCCGTATACGGCCGTATTTTCACAGTATACGACCCCGTATTACTGTGCCCAGAAACGGTGCCGTTTACGGTCGTATATTGTGATTCCTGCGTCCAGTAGACCGTCCGTATATGGACCGTATCGTTCGACCTGAGTAATATTGTTGTTATTAGCTAACGATTGTGACAGTAATCCGGGTAGTACAACGTGATTATAATCCTTAATTTGACCTTCGTCTAATTGAGATTGTTGAGATGAGAAAGATGATCGATCAATCACAAATTTGACTGCTTATTTTGAGACGTCCTAATGTCAGTCATCTTAGATCACTCATCTAAAACAAAATGTAACTAAAAGTTTGCTTATTTCTTTTCTAAGGCAGAACAGTTGAAAAAAAGACCAAATGAAAATTCTCAAAAGCAAAGTGGAAAACAAAGTGGGATATATTTTTCTCAGCGTGGAAAACAGTGGAAATTCGTTATTCAAAGTGGAAATTTGCTCTCGCTTGTCCCACTCATCATTAAAAATACTGATTACTTGACACAGCTGAAGCGAATTGTGTATAAGAGACGACGCTCTTTGCTCTCGTTTCTTATCTCAGTTGTTAACACTGAAGAGCTCTAAAATAATAATGACTAATAAAAACTCCTTCGGGCATAAAAAAGATTGACAAAAAAGAACGACGTGGACATTGAATCTATCATTACTAATTCCACGAGCAAATGCTTTTAACCAGTGGGCTACACACGTCATAAGTGAAACTATTCTCTTTTCATTTATATTGATATAAAATATCTTTTACAGATATTTTCTGAGCGAAATTTTATTAAATTGACACCTTATTAAGGGTACCCCCTTTTGAAAACTAGAGAAGCTGATGTTGGATCGGGTNTTTTTTGCAGAAAAGTTGTCATTTTGAGCTGAACGTAGTCTAATGTAGAGGAAAGTCTGGGCTGTAAAATGAGACCACTTCCAGCTCCTCATGACCTTCCTTGAAAAAATTATGAAGCTTTTAAGTTTTTCCTTCAAAGCCTAGAAAATCTCAATTTTTTAGATTCGTAAATTTTTCTCTCCTTTTCTATATATTCAAACTTTTTTCTTATATATAGCATGATAGAAGAAAGTGTGCTCCTCAAAATAAGATGTTTTCCAGAATTTTCTGATGAGTTTTCTTAGAGATATAAGCATTGCCGCAAATGCCCTGAAAACACAGGGCGTTTTTTTAATAGTCCCTTCAATTGGCACACATTACGATCCCTAGAAAAAATCGTCCGATCGAGCTCAAAATTTTACCACAGATATTCCAGTCTTTATCTCAGGTTCATTTTTTTTAAAAAGCGTTTTCGACTTCAACTTTCGGCGTAAGAAGTGAGAAACCGGTTTGTTATATGAGATTTTCAGTATTTTTCGGATATCTCGAGAAGGAAAGAATATTTTTCGAAAAGAAAAAAAACGAACCTGAGATAGGGTCTGAAGTATCTGTGGTAAAATTTTGAGCTCGATCAGACGAGCGAGGGGTTGTAATGTGTGCCAATGAAAACTGAAGTTTTTCAGAAAACCCATAGAAGAACACGTCAAAAAATTCTGGACAAAAATACATCGATTTTCTTCTTCGATGTTCTGTCCCTGGTGTAAATTAGAACCCGATCCAACATCAGCTTCTCTAGTTTTCAAAAGGGGGTACCCTTAATAAATCACACTATCTTATATAGAAATTTGTGCTCAATCTAAATTTCACACTCTTAGTCAGCGAAAATATACACCTTCAGAAATATCCTTATTTTATTCGAAATTCCAAAAAATTTAAAATTTAATTTTTGAATAAATTAAGAGATCTTTGAAACTTTATTTTCAGTTATATTTGACAGATAACCTAAGAATTTAGATTAAGGAAAAAAAACAATTTTTTGCTATTTTCCAGTAGCACCCTCAAATGGTCGAGATGGAACTAAAGATAAATAATTTATCAGATAAAGTTTACAAAAAAGGTCGAGATGGAAATAAAGATAAATAATTTATCAGATAAAGTTTACAAAAAAGGTCGAGATGGAAATAAAGATATTTTCTTCCATTAAATTCAATAATCAACTATTCTTAGCAGTAATACCGAGTTTAATTTTCCAACTTTCCAATATTTTATTAATTTAAAAATTTAATTTATTTCCTACGATGTTTTGGAATGAATCTTAATAATCAATGCAGTGATTACTGACTTTTATTGTTGAGTGGTCGCATAAATACGCCATACGCTTGACATAAACCAGATCAAATTCACAATTCGAGAACGAACATTTGAAACATACGAGACTACTTTGCTTTTAATTAAATTTTTAGATATATCGTACAAATATAAGTCAAAGGCGATTCTGTTTATGCAACTATTTTTTCAAAATTTTTGGATTCGCAACAGACTTGATATTATACAGGACAATGTACGATGTTTACGGCATTTGTAGATTACAAAAATATAGAAAAATAAACATTTCAAATCGGGTCAAGACTTATTGGACATCCCGTATTTTGTTTGTCTCAAATGATGGCGAGGGCATCAGTATACTGACAACACGAATCCATGTTTTACCTTTCTAGGCTGCATATTCTTCTCAAGATAAGTACGAATGTATGAGTCAAGATATTTTACTATAACTAGTTACTGCCATCAACGTGAAGCTAATAGAAAGTAGCGCATAGTTGTAGAAATCTTAGTTTTAGAATATGACCGAATGTATGAAAAAAGAATGATAAGTGACATTCTTGATGTAATACTCTTGCTGATCACAGGTAGCTTGTGAAAGTAGCAACACAGCCGTAGTCAGACAGTACAGTATATCCGAATTGATGAGTGGAGTGCCCTCATTGTTGCTGTAACATCATTTAATTTCAGCAAAAATTATCCTGGAATACTCTCAATTTTGGGCTCATTGGCCATATAAAGGAAGTGCCTTTTCTATGTGCAAGGTATGATCATTCATCGGTGTTTATTAAGTCATTAAGCGCTAGGATCGATGAATCAGTTGTTGCAAGAAAAATATGGAATTATCACATAGTTCATTGAAAGTAAGTTTGTGTTAGCTGTTAGTGCTACTACAA